TAGCTATAGACAATTGGGATGAAGTGAATCTGTTGAAAAGTATAAGGGGTGTAGGGGCTTTCTTGAGAGTGAAATCAAGAGGGCAAAAAGAAGATATGAGATTACCTTGGCAGATAAGATTAAGGATAATCTAAAGAGATTCTACAAATACATTAAGAGCAAAAGAGCTAGTGGGGAGAGGATTGGGCCCCTTAAAGATCAACAAGGTCATCTATGTGTGGAACCACAGGAGATGGGACAGATACTAAACAAATATTTTGCATCAAACTTTACTGTGGAGAAAGACATGGAGGCTAGTAAACTCGGCGAAATAAATATTGATTTCTTGAAAATAGTCCACGTTACAAAAAAAAAAGTACTGGAGGTCTTGAAAAACATGAAGGTGGATAAATCTCTGGGACCTGATCAAGCGTATCCCAGGATGTTGTGAGAAGTTTCAGAAGAAATTGTGGGGCCCCCTAGCAGAGACATTAGTATCATCTATGGCCACAGGTGAGGTGCCGGAGAACTGGAGGGTGACTAATACTGCGTCTTTATTGCAAAAAGCTATAAGAGAAACCTGGGAACTATAGGCTGTTGAGACTGATATCAGTGATAGGTACGTTGTTGGAGGGGATTCTGAGAAACAGGTTTTACATGCATTTGGAGAGGTAGGGACTGATTAGGGATATTTTGCATGGCTTTGTGCATGGTAAATCATGTCTCTCAAACTTGATTGAGTTTTTTGAGGACGTAACCAAAAAATTGATGAGGGCAGAGCAATAGACATTATCTACATGGACTTTAGTAAAGTCTTTGACAAGGTTCCACATAGTAGATTGATTAGTAAAGTTGGATCACATGGGATTCAGGGAGACCTCGTCAATTGGATACAAAATTGGCTTGACAGAGGGTGGTTGTGGAGGACTGTTTTTCGGACTAGAGGCCTGTGACCAGCAGTGTTCTGCCGGGATGGGTGCTGGATCCACTTCTGTTTGTCATTTATATAAATGATTTGGATGAGGATTTAGAAGGCATGATCAGTAAGTTTGTGGACAACTCAAAAATTGTTGGTATAGTGGACAGTGAAGACGGATGACAAAGGGCTCTTGATCAATTGGGTCAATGGGCAGAGGAGTGACAGATGGATTTTAATTTGGATAAATGTGAGGTGTTGCATTTTGGTAAATCGAACAAGAGCAGGACTTATACAGTTAATGGCAGGGCCCTGGGTAGTGTTGTCAAATAGAGACCTAGGGTTTCAGGTACATAGTTCTTTGAAAGTTGCATCACAGGTAAACAGGTTGGTTAAGAAGTCAGTTAGCACACTTGCCTTCATTGCTCATACCTTTGACAATTAAAGGTGGGAGAACTGTACAGTTCTGGGCCCCCTGCTATAGGAAGGATATTATTAAATTAGAGACAGTTCAGAAAAGATTTACCAGGATGTAGCTGGGACTGGACAATTTGTGTTATAAGGATAGGCTGGATAGGCTGGGACATTTTTCAATGGAGCATAAGAGGTTGAGGGATGACCTTATTGAGGTTTATGAAATCATGCGGGACATAAATAAGGTGAAAAGCAAAGGTCTTTTCCCAAGGATGTGATCGTTCAAAGCTAGGGGGCATTTTTTTTAAGGTGAGAGGAGGAAGGGACCTGAAGAATAACTTTTTCACACAGAGGGTGTTTCATATGTGGAATGAACTGCCGAAGGAAGTGGTAGAGGCAGGTACAGTTGCAACATTTAAAAGAGTATGAAAGTAAGCTTACAGGGAACATAAACACTGATGCCAAGAGTTTCTACAGGTATGTGAAGAGAAAGAGGTTGGTAAAGACAAATGTATGTCCCCTACAGACAGAAATGGGGGAATGTATAATAGGGGACAAAAGAAATGGCTGAGGAACTGAACACATACTTTGGCTCTGTCTTCAAAAAGAGGACACAAATCAGATACCAGAAATGTTGGAGAATGCAAGATTCAGTGAGAGGGAAGAACTGAGTGAAATCAATATAAGTAGAGAAATGGTGCTGGGAAAATTGTTGGGATTGTAGGCCAATATAACCCCAGGGCCTGAAAATCTTCAACCCAGAGTACTTAAGGAGGTAGCTCTAGAAATAGTGAATGCATTGGTGGTCATCTTCCAGGATTCTATAGACTCTGGAACTGTCCCTGCAGATTGGAGGGTGGCTAATGTCATTTCAATATTCAAAAAGAGAGGTAGAGAAAAAACAGGAAATTGTCGGTCAGTGAGCCTAACATTGGTAGTGGGGAAAGTTCTCAAATCCATTGTCAGGGATTTTATTGCAGAGTATTCAGAAAGCAGTGGCAGGATCAGACAGAGTCAGCATGGATTTATGAAGGGGAAATCATGCGAAACAAATCTGTTGGAAATCTATGAAGATGTAACTGGTAGAGTTGACAAGGAGGTGCCAGGCAATGTAGTGTATTTGGACTCAGAAAGAATTTGACAAAGTCCCACATAAGAGATTAATGCAAGATTAAAGCATATGGGATTGGGGAAGTGTATTGAGATGGAAAGGAAACTGGTTGGCAGAGAGGAAACAAAGAGTAGGAATTAAAGGGTCATTTTCAAATTGGCAGGCAGTAACTAGTGGGGTGCCACAGGGATCAATGCTGGGACCCCAGGTATTCACAATATATATTAATGATTTGGATGAGGGAACAAAATGTAACATCTTCAAGTTTGCAGATGATACCAAGTTGGAGGAGAGGGTAAACTATGACAACGATGCAGAGATCCTTCAGCATGATCTTGACAGGTTAGATGAGTGGGGAAATCAACGGCAGATGCAGTATAATTTGGATAAATGTGAGATTATTCACATCGGAAGCAAAAGCAAGAAGGCAGATTGCTACCTGAATGGTTGTGAAATGGGAGAGGGCAGTGTGCAGTGGTATCTCAATGTCTTTGTGCATTAGTCGCTGAAGGTAAGCATGCAGGTGCAACAGGCGGTAAAAAAGGCAAATGATTTGTTGCCCTTCATTGTGAGATGATGTGAGTACAGGAGCAGGGATATGTTGTTGCAGTTGTACAGGGCCTTGGTGAGACCACACCTGGAATATTGTGTGCAAGTTTGGTCTCCTTTTCTGAGGAAGGATGCTCTTGCTCTCAAGGTAGTGCAACAAAGGTTTACCAGGCTGATTCCAGGGAAGGCAGGACTGACGTATGAGGAGAGATTGACTAGGTTGGGATTGTTTTCGCTGGAGTTCAGATGAATGAGGGAGGATCTCATAGAGACTTATAAAGTTCTGACAGGACTGGACAGGGTAGATGCAGGGAGGATCCGAGGAAGGGTCACCAGACCCAAAACATTAACTCTTTTTTTCTTCACAGATGCTGCCAGACCTCCTGAGCTTTTCCAGAAACTTTGTTTTTGTTCCTGATTTACAGCATCCGCAGTTCTTTCAGTTTTTATTAGGATGTTTCCAATGGTGGGTTTGTCCAGAACTAGGGGTCACAGTATGAGGATTCGGGGTAGGCAATTTAGGAGAGAAATGAGGAGACATTTCTCACCAAGAGAGTGGCGAGCCTATGGAAATCATTATCACAGGAAGTAGTTGATGCCAAAACATTGAATGTCTTCGAGAGGTGACTAGGGTTACTTAGGAGAAGGCAGCAGAATGGGGCTCAGAAACATACCAGCCATAATCGAATGGTGGAGCAGACTCAATGGGCTGAATGGCCTAATTCTGCTCCTAAATCTTATAATTGTAAAATATAACATTTAAAAACTTTGAAATATGTATAGATAGATAAATCTATAGTACATCATTGGTTACTATAATGTGTTTTATTTTTTGGTAAAATTGTATTTTTAAAACAAACTGTACCAGCATAAAATATAAAACTCAGAAGTAAATATTCAATGAATGAATAACTCTTTTAACAATTTTTATAAAAATATTCAGCATACTCTATGTTTGCAGCTCCTGGCAGAGCCAATTGTGGTCACCGACTCTTATCTTGAACACAGGTCTACGAGCCATGTAGGATTCATTCATTGACTGCGCCCTGGCCTGCAGATTGTATATTCAACAACCTGTGTCCAGAGTAGATGTTAATGGTAAGAAAATTGAAAGCATGCTTGCGAACTGTTCAGAGGTGTTCTGCAAAGCAGTCACCAAGTTCATGTTTGGTCTCCCCAGTGTTGATGAAGCCACGTTGTGTGCATTGAATATAGACTAGATTGAAATAAGTTAAGTAAATCACTGCTTCACCGAGAAGGAATGTTTTGGGACCATGGACCGTATGGAGAGACGAGGCACAAGGGTGGATGTTAAATGTTGTGCACTTGGAAAGTAAAGTGCTTGTGCAGTTTTGGTCTCCTTATCTGGACAAAGTGCTCTTGCTGAAGAGGGAGTGCAGGAAAGGTTTATCAAATTAATTCCTAGGATAGCAGTACTTGGGTATAAGGACTGGTGTATAAGGAGAAATTGAATAAGTTAGGATTGTATTCATTGGAGTTTGGAAGAATTTTGGGGCATCTCACAGAAACCTATAAAATTCTATAAGGACTGGACTGATTAGATGCAGGAAGGATATTCCCAACGGTAGGGGAGTCCAGAAACAGGAGTTATAGTTTAAACACTTTACGACTAAGATGAGGAGACATTTCCTAACTCACAGAGTGGTGAGTGTGGGGAATTCACAATCACAGAAAATTGTTGAAGTCAAAATGTTAGGTGTTTTAATGACGCAGGTAGATATCGTTATTTTGGCTAAAGGGACTAGGAAATATGAGAGGGAGAGTGGGATTAGGGTATTAAGTTCCACGATCTGCTGTGAACATATTGAATACTGGAGCAGGCTTGAGGGGTCTAATGGCCTACTCCAGCTACTATCTTCTGTGTTTCTATGTTTCAATACGGTTGAGATGTTGGAAATATTTGGAATGGAGAAACTGGAGCAATCGAGATCTTGTCTACCTAAAACGCCCCAATCAGCGCTTATTGAGCCCAATAGCCTAATCCCGAACTCCTTGATCCCTTTAGAAAACTGTATTTGAATCACTTCTCATCTTTTGTTCCAATGCCTCATCAGAATAGACATGGATTTTCGAAAGGTTCATTGTCTTATCTGATTTTGCACTGTTTGATTTTCTGCAGCTTGCACTAAATGTTAGAAACACAGGCAGAACTATAAGGCCATGAACGGCCCCAAAAGTTATGACAAGAAACATGATTTTAAAAAATGTCCTAAATATGTAACTTGCTGCAGCAGCCAATACAACCACACCCAGTATGGTTGAAAGGGCTCCCTGGATGATGGGATATCCAAGACTATATAATGCATCAATACTTTGCTCATTTGCACTTTCTCTGTCACTGGACACAAATGCATACGAAATATGAGCTGAAAAGTCCACAGAAAAACCAATACAAATGACCAGATTAATCATTGATATAGAATCTAAATTGACACTCCAAAAAGCCATAAAACCAGCAACACCCACTAAAACTGATGCAGTGGAAAGTGTTACCCACAGACAGCACATTAGATTAGGTATTAAAAGTAGAGCAACGATCAGCATTACACCAGCAGCGACAACTACATTCTGTATTGTGTTGGATACTATAACAAGATATTGATCAAAATAGATAAATGCAGGATGATACACCAACAGAGGGATTTGACATTCCTCTGCAAGCTTTCTTAATTCATTCAGCATGTTTTTCTCAGCAACTGAAGTATTGACATTAATGGTCTGAATGAAAAAGCGAGAAGCATTAATTTGTTGCTTACTTTCTGAAAACCCAGTGTCTTGTTTAAATAAAGGAACAATTTGAAACAATGTAGGTAAATTTCCCATGAATGCATTTTTCTCCTGTATGTCTATTGACATCTTTTTAGATAGATCAATGTACACACGAAGCCAAGACTCTGACAATTCAGGATCGACATATGAGTTGTTTTCCAATCTGCCCATGCAGGTTTCAATTTCATCCTGAACAGTGGAATTCCAATATTCCACGGGTTCAGTGATAGCAACCATAACACGTGGTCCATATTTTGAGAAAAAAGTACTTTGATCATCATAGAATTTAATCACATATGAACCATCAAAGGCAAGATTTCTCAGATCAATTCCCTCTTTGATATTTAAACAGCCATAAATACTGATGGCCAAATAACCAATGTATAGGACAACCACAATTGCCTTGGTCCAAATGTTTGTAAGGCATGGACCATAATATTCCTTAAAGAAGAAATAAACTGGATGTTCTATTTCTGTACCAGTCTCACTATCGTAAGCTCCACCTACACAGCACATTGCATAGCATTTAGATTCTTCTGGTTCATGATCACTTTCAACTTTTCTAAAAGTCAGCCAATGCCTGTTACTAGCTTCTCTCCTCCCATTAAGTGCAAGAACAGCTCCAAAAAATGTAATGTTATAAATGAAGCAAAACAGAACAGTTGTGCCGGTGTAAACACAGAATGACTGCACAGATCGAAAAGGTGTCATAATGCCAATATAAAAGGCCAACACATCAGTTAGAGTGGTGATTGTAACAGAGACAGCTGCTTCAGCGTATGTGTCTGCCAGGCGATCTTCAACTTCATCCGTGACCATGGTCTTTTGCCAGCTGGCAAGCATAACAAAGAAATCATCTATGCCAATACCTAAAGAAATGAGAGAAGGTAAATTAGTGTACCAGTGATTATCAGTCAATGACTGTAAATATAAGTGTTTAAAATTTAACACTCTCATCTGAATGGTGCATGATGAGAAATTAATGATTATCAAACTTCCTTTTTTGTTCATTCCGTGGGATAGTTGCATCATTTTCTAGTTTTAGAAAGACCTCCCTACTTTGGTACTTCATTCCCTTTGAAGATAAGGTCAATTTTCCATTTGCCTTCCCTATTACCTGCTGAACATGTAAGCTATCATTTTGTAATTTGTTGTTATTCATTAACAGAATGTGGGTGTTGCTGCCTAAACCACCATTTATTGCCCATCCCTAATTGCCCAGAGGGCAGTTGAGAGTCGTTCCCCATTACTGTTGGTCTGAAGGCACATACAGGCTCAGGCCAGAAAAGGGTGGCAGCTTCTTTTCCTGGAGGATATTTGTGATCCAGATGGTTTTTTCAACAACCAACAATGTGTTTCATCATTAGATCATCATTAGATTCTTATTTCCAGATTTTTATCAAATTCAAATTTCAACTTTTCAATGGTGCTATTTGAACTCTGGTCCCCAGAACATTACCTGGGTCTCTGGATTAATAGTCTCATGATAATACCACTAAGCCCTCGCCCTCAATTTCTAAATTACATTTCAAAGATTCAAAAGAAATTAAATCCAAATACTGCAAATAAATGCAGATGGTATTCCAGTGTCACTATTGTGATTACACTTTCTACCTAGCTACAGGGCTAACCTGCAATGTTTCCAATGAATACAGACATAATGCTGCATTATAATTATAGTCTGCTCCATATAGGAATGTGGTATAATTGGTTAGCTCAGTTGGCTGGACGGTCGGTGGCACCAATTGTGCAGGTTCAATTCCTGCATCAGCTGAAGTCACCATAAAGACCCTGTCTTCTCAACCTCACTCTTCACCTGAAACCTGACACTCAGATTACACTCACCACCAGTTGTCTCTGTCTAATGAGAGAGGATACGTATGGTCCCCTGGGTCTATGGCGACATTATCTTTACAGTTACAAGCTTCAATGACATTTGCAAGCCTGCCTGATAACATCAAGTGAATATTGAGCAGGGACATAGTATAATATACTTTATTCCAGACTTGAGAACTTCAACAACTAGTATCAACAGCCAGACTTTCGTTCCTCTAAAGGATTATGACGGATTTGTATGTTTATAACAGGAACACAGAACTGTAGCGTAGAATGATGGCATAGTTACAGCACAGAAGGAGACTATTTGGCCCATATATGGACTGGCTCTCAATAAGAGTGTCTCACAGGGTCCAAATGCTGTTAGGAAGAGAGTTCCAGGATTTTGACCCAGTGATAGTGAAGGAACAGTGATACAATTCCAAGTCAGGATGGTGCCTGACTTAAGGGAAACTTACAGATGACAATGATCCCACCTGTTACCCTTCTCTGTCTGCGTGCTGGAGGTTGTGGTTTTGAAAGGTGCTGTCAGAGTAACCTTGGTGAGTTACTGCAGTGCACTTTGTAAATGGTACACACTGCTGCCACTGAGCATTGGTGGTCAAGGGAGTGAGTGTTGAAAGATGTTTAAGCTTTTGTTGTATCAGTAATCAGTAGTTCAAGACACTCCATACAATCAACTCAAGAATTCCTGGACAACATCAAGAACACTAAAATAGACAAGTAAGTGATGATCTCAATCGATGTAACAGGATTGTTTACATCAATTGACAGAAACCTAGCCAAAGAAACTCTATCCAACCTACTAGACAAACACAACAGATAACAGAACAAGGAATAGATCAACAAACACTGCATACTCAAACTACTGGACTTATGCTTAACAACACACTTTACATTCAACGGCAAGATATATGAGCAGATCAATGGGACTGCCATGGGCTCACCCATCTCCGGACTGATAGCTGAGGCAGTCATGCAAAGACTGGAACAAACAGCCCTCCCACAGATCCAAACCCAGCTCTGGATCAGATACGTGGACGACACTTTTGTAATTATGAAACAAACAGAAATTGAGAACACCCACCAACTCATCAACACCATACTCACAGGGATCACGTTTACAAGACAGGAGGAAAACAACAACAAACTCCCATTCCTGAAGGTGATGGTGAAGAGAAAGAGAATGGAGACTTCACTACAAAAGTATACAGGAAATCCACACATATGTAAAAAACACCTCAGAACTGACAGCCAGACTACTCAGACCATAAAGAATCATGACAGCACACAAACCAGCAGCCACACTAAGACAGCAACTGACTAGGGTTAAAGACCCAATACTTACCATGGACTGGACAAATGTGGTTCACAAGATACCATGCGGAGACTGCACAAAACACTACGTGGGACAAACATGCAGACAACTAGCAACCCACATCCACGAACACCAGCTAGCAAATAAACAACACAACCAGATGTCCTTGGTTTCAATCACACAGATGAGAAAAGCCAACACTACTATCATTGGACAAGCCAAACAGAGGACAGCCAGGGAATTCTTGGAGGCTTGGCATTCATCTGTGGACTCCATCAGCAAACACATTGAATTAGACCCGATATACCGACCACTACAACACACAGCTGGAACCGACACCTACCAGAAGCAGCAAAAACCTGACGATATAAATTTGAACTGGCACAAGATGACAGCACTTTACAGGACGCTCCACAGCACTGAGGATGTCCCCTAGTAAGGGGATGAAATGTCTGTTATCAAACTTCCCAGCTCGGTGAACACACCAACATCTACAGCCAGCACCGGAGCTACAAATCTTCACTCAAACTCTGAATACACTCAATGACTTGGCCTCCACAGCCGCCTGTGGCAATGAGTTCCACAGTTTCACCACCCTCTGGCCAAAGAAATTCCTTCTCATCTCTGTCCTAAATGATGGTCCCTTCACTTTGAAGCTCTGCCCTCTAATCCTAGTCTCCTTTACCAGTGGAAGCATTTTCTCCATGTCTATTCTATCCAGGCTTCTTGGTATCCTGTAAGTTTCAATCAGAATCCCCTCATCCTTCCAAACTCCATTCAGTACAGATCCAGATTTCTCAACTGGTCCGTATGCCCGTTCAGTCCTGAGATTATTCTTGTAAACCTCCTCTGGAACCCCTCCAATGCCAGCACATCGTTCCTTAGATATGGGATCCAAAACAGCCCACAATATTCCAAATGCAGTCTGAGCAGAGCCTTGTACAGCCTCAGCAGTGCATCTCTGCTCTTGTATTCTAGCCCTCTTGAAATAAATACTAACATTGCATTAGCCTTCCTAACTGCCAAACGAAACTGCATTTTAACAGTGGGAACACAGGGAAGAAATTGTGGCATCCCAAGCAGAGATATTTGTATCATTGACAGCCTTGGGTGAGGCGCTAGAAGACTGGAAAGTGGCTAATGTTGTGCCATTATTCAAGAAAGGCTGCACGGGAAAGCCAGAGAACTACAGATTGGTGAGCCTAGCATCAGTGGTAATTTCTGTTTCTGTTTCTGGTTTCCTGTATCCGTAGTTCTTTTGTTTTTTTGTTTAGTGTTTATCACACTCCCACCTCTCTTCCAGGTATGCCCACCTTGAAGAAGTTGTGCTCCTCTCTCAGATAGGATTTCTGTTCCAATCTCTTTACTTGTTCGCATCATTAATTTCATTGTCACTCCTGCTGTTTGATAAGATATTTGCTAAAACTCGTTTCCACAGCCACATCACATTTGTCAGTGACTGCCTCCGGCTCAGACTCACTCCACGTGGATTGTAACTCAAGTTTCATCCCTTGTGTTTCTAATCCACTCAGGATCACAGGTATCTCCGTGATGTTCAATGTTCCACAGACAGCTGTTCTTGCCGCATCCTGAGATCCACACTCAGTGCCATGCAAAGTCATAAGAACACTCTCAACCTCTCTCTCCAACAACATCGCATCACGCTGGCTCAGGGCTGCACCATTCCCCTGTTCCACTTCATCCTTTGGCTCATTTGCTGGGCTAATAAGAAGTTTTCCTTTTCCTTTCAGCCACTAAGGAACACAAGACACAACAACTCAGAGATACCTATGGCCCTCTGAAACCTTCCTCCTCTCCCCTTCACTCTGACTCCATTCCCTCCGCAACCCCACCTTCTGTCCTGTATTTACCATCTCTTCTGACCTTCCACTCTCTGATGCTGATTGTTGTGTTCTCAGCAAAGGGTCTCAGTTTTAGCCCTCAGTGCCCACCCCAGTAAATTCGGGCACAACATGGCGTTCTGTTGCCTTCTCCTCCATGCTCATTTCTTTGGACAAGAGTCCTCTCCACGTCCCACAAACCCCTTCACCCACCTCCAACACACTCCCTCCAGCTGGACCCCTCCTTCTGGCCTTTTACCTGCACTTGACCTGTTCATTGAGTGCAGTCGATGTGACATTGGTCACCTCAATTTCTCTGCATCCTCCCCCCACCAACCATTCCAACCTATCTCCCTGTGAACTGACTGCACTCCATGCTCTCAGATCCAACCCTGACTTTGTAACTAAGCCTGCTGATAAGCGTGGTGCTGTGGTAGTCTGGCATACTGACCTCTACATTGCAGAGGCTGAGCACCAGCTCTCAGATACCTCCTCCTATCTCCCCTGGACCATGACTCCACCATTGACAACCAGGCCATTGTGCCCACTATGATCACTAACCTCATCTCATCTGGTGATCTCCCTTCACTGCCCCCGAGCTGATAGTCTCTCAATCCCAAACAGTTTGCTTCTGCCTCCTTCTCAAAATTCACAAACAGGACTGCCAGGGCAGACCCATTGTTTCTGCCTGCTCCTGCCCCACAAAACTCATCTTTTCCTACTTCAACTACATTAGGCCCTTAATTCCAGATATTTGAGAAAAAATGGTGGATATTGAAGCAGGATTCCTAGAACACTACCTGGGTGTCTGGATAAATATGGCTTGTGATAATACGACTAAGCGATTGCCTCTCCTATCAATGACTTGAATAATGGACAGAAAGTCATACATCCAAATTTGCTGATGATACACAGTTAGGCTGCATTGTGAAAAGTGGATGATGGCATAAAATTACAAATCGATATGGATAGCCTAAGTGAATAGCCAAAACTGAGCAGGTGGAGTTCAACATAAGCTCAGTACAAGCTCAATATCCATTTTTGAATGAAAAAAGTAAGGGTTGTTTCTAGATGGCATGAAGTTAACTACAGTGGATGTTCAAGGAGACTTGGAGGTTCAGGTTCATAGATCTTAAAATGTCATGAACACGGGCAAAACATAATCCAGAAAGCTAATGGAATGCTGCCCTTTATGTCTAGAGGACTAGAGTACAAGGATGCAGAAGTTGTGCTGCAGTTATACAAAATCCTTGGAGGATTGTCAGCGGATCTGGGCACCACACATCAGGAAGCATATATTGGCTTTGGAAGGAGTACAATGTAGGTTTACAAGACTGATACCTGGACATCGGGGTGAAGTTATGAGGAGAGATTACATAAATTAGGGATAGTGGGAACTGCCAATGCTGGAGAATCTGAGATAACAAGGTGTAGAGCTGAATGAACACAGCAGGCCAAGCACCATTAGAGGAGCCGGAAAGCTGACATTTCGGGTCTGGACCCTCCTTTAGAAATCCATTTCTGAAGAAGGGTCCAGACCCGAAACATCAGCTTTCCGGCTCCCCTGATGCTGCTTGGCCTGCTGTGTTCATCCAGCTCTACACCTTGTTATTTTACATAAATTAGGCCTGTTTTCTCTAGAATTTAGAAGATTAAAGGATGATCTACTTTAAGTCTTCAAAATGTTGGAAAATACAAAGTAGATAAACTATTTCCACTGGTTGAAAATTCTAGAATGAGGGGCCCAGTCTGAGAATTACAGTCAGACCATTCAGGAAAGATGTCAGGCAGCACTGCTATACACAAAGGACAGATCTTTGGAATGCTCTTCCACAAATGACAGTTGTTAAGTTTTAAATCTGAGATATATAAAATTTTCAAAGGTATTAAAGCATATGGGGCAAAGGAATGTCTTTGGAGTTAAGTAACATAATGGCAAAACATAATGGCTGAATAGTCTACTTCTATGTTCATATATTCCAATGGTCCTACATAAATGCATTTGAAACTTGATCAGACTTGTACTTTTAAAATAAATATTACTGACCTAGAATCAGAAAAGGTGCATTGGCAGTATTAATGGCAAATTTCATCCCACAGTATAACAGCAGCCCAAATCCTGACAGTACAGCTAATCCAGCCAAAAAAACTCCAAGAGCAGCAACCCAGAACTTATTCCTCACACAGTCCAACCTGAAAATAAATTTGATAATCTTCTATAACACAACTGATTTTTTCTGTGATGTATTCTATGAAAACATGTTATAAATAATTATGAAAAAATGAATTTTACCTCATACAAGATACGATAGAAAAGAATATTGAAAGAAAATATGTGACAGAGAACAAAGGAATAATTTTCTTCGGAGTTCCTTCAAATTCTTCTTGTCTTGATATTGATGTGAAATAGGAAACCTGCAATTCAGGAACAAAGGTGAATAATGATCAGAAACAGTCACTTTCAGAAAACAACATCCTGAGCAGCTGTGGTATGTGGGAGCTGGTGGAAGCTGGAGCAATCCATGGTAACCACATCTGTAACAAATATTGGCTGCTCAAGGAAATCGGCTCAAAGCTAATGAGCTGGAGTCCGAGCTGCAGACACTGCGACACATCAGGGAGTGGGAGAGAAAACCTGGACACTGTTACAGGAGGCAATCCACACCGCTTAGATTAATTACATCAGATTTGCTCCATGGTCAGGGACAGTGGGGTGCCACTGTGGATGAGGTGGCTACACAGATTCACAATTTAGCTTTGGAGGAGCCGTAGCCAGTGCCTTTCTCCAATCGATACGTGGCCCTTGCTCCCAGTGTGGTCAAGGCCACAGGCTGCAGGGAGAATGAGTAAATTAACCAGAGTACTGTGGTTCAGAGCACTGTTCAGGTCAGGAAAGAAAAAAGAAATTTAGTGGTAATAATGCATGACATAGTTTGGGGTATAATATCATTTTCTGCAGCAAAGACAGAATGGCCAAAAGGCTATATTGCCTACCTGCTGCCAGGTTAAGGACATCGCTTGGGGTGGGGAGCAACTGGAAATGGAACAGGAAGGATGCAGTCATTGCGGTTGCTGTAAGCATTAACAACAAAGGTAGGGCTAGGAAAAAGGTTCAGCTGAGGGATTACAAGCAGCTTGGGGTCTAAATCGAAAAGAAGCATAAAAGTACCAATCTCAGGATTATTTGCATGGATTAAATAAGATTAGAGTGGTTAACGTGTGGCTCAGAGATTAGTGTGGTATATGTGAGTTCCGGTTCATGGGGAGCTGGCCCCAGTAGTGGGGATAGACAGAGCTTCATTTGAACGATGCTGGGACCAGTGTTCTAGGGAATTGCACAACTAGGGTTGTAGAGATGTTTTTCAATAATTAGAGTTGGAGAGGGTTCAATTGAAGGAAGTTTTAAGAAAATCAAAACGACAAAAGAACAGAGTTGCAGGGTAGTGAAGAGCAGAACAATAATTAGAGTGACAGGAACAATCAGAAAATATATGCAGAAATTAGAAATTGAATAAGTAATAACAAGTTAAAACTTAAGGCTCTACATTGTGTTCAAGCACCAAGTTCTTTGGAAGTGGCCTCACGCCAAGACAGGGTGGTGAGGAAGGTGTTTGGCATACTTGCCTTCATTGGTCAGAGCTTTGAATAGAGTAATCAGGATGTTGTGTTGCGGCTGTACCAGGACATTGGTGAGGCCACTTTTAGAATATTGCATACAGTTCTGTTCACCCTGCTACAGGAAGGATGTTATTAAACTGGAACAGGTGCAGCAAACACTTACAAGGATGTAACCAAGACTAAATGGTTTGAGTTATAATGAGAGACTGAATAAGTTGGGGTTCTTTTTCCCTGGAGCATAGGAGGCTTAGGGGTGATCTTATAGAGGTTTACAAAATCATGACAGGCATAGACAAGGTGAATAGCCAAGGTCTTTTCCCCAGGGTAGAGGGTTCCAAAATTAGAAGGCATAGGTTTAAAGTGAGAGGGAAAGATTTAAAAAGGATCTGAAGGGCAAATTTTTCAAACAGAGGGTGGTGGATATATGGAACAAACTGCAAGAGAAAGTGGTCAAGGTGGGCACAATTGCAACATTTAAAAAACATTTAGACAGGTACATTGATCAGAAAGGTTTAGAGGGACTTGGGCCAATTGCAAGCAAATATGACTTCAGTTTATGGAACCTGGTCAGCATGAACAAAAGGGTCTGTTTCTGTGCTGTATGACTGTATGACTCTATCGCTGGAGCAGGTGGGACCTAAAACTAGGGTTCCTCACTCAGAGATAAGGACACTACCATAGAGCCACAGGAACACCAGGAATGAGGTAGATATTTTAATCAACCTGCTTGGATGTGTTATAAAACAGCTCCACTTTATTGCACATTTCTTTGACAGGTGGGACATAATCCCAGACCTTCTAGCTCAAACATAGGGGCACTACCTCTGCGACCAGAGCCCCTCAGGTACCATTTGGTTGATATTTTTCAGATGTATTATGACGTACCTCTGGAACAGCTAGGACTTGACCTCAAGGCCTCCTGGCTCAGTGGTAGAAATACTATCCTCTTGTCATAAGAGTCCAAGGACTCTTTACATGAAGACATTTTTTATCAACCTGCTCAAAATATTTTTCACCATACTGTTGTGTTATGACAGTTCTGCAGCAGATCAGATTTGAACTGAAGCTTTATGACACAGACATAGAGACACGACCACTTTGCCAGAAGAGCACTCAAGGCTCTTTATTTGAATTAGTCTTCTAACTAATCTGTTCAGAGATGTTGTTATAGAGCTCTGAGGCAGATGCGACTCAGGTGAGTGGCCTCCTTGCTCAAAGATAGGGACATTGCCATTGCACCACCCCTGCCTTTAAGGCTCTTTATTTCAATGTAAACAGCACTCATTAGAATCAGGTAAAAATAATCCTTCCAGCTGGATGACAGGGCAGATGTCTTCGAGATTGCTTGTGTGGTTAACTCTGTGAAAGGCTAAAGATAAGGTTAAGAAGGGCAAGGAATGAGAGTTTACTATAGTCACTGATACAGAGTGAAATTTGTATCTTTAATAGGGGCCATTTTAATGTTATAGTATGGGAGAGAAAAAAGATGTTGGAGATAAGGATATTTACCAAATACAGAGAGGCCAAGGGATTTCTTTTCGAGGAAGGTGGTGATGATGACAGAGCTGAAGAGGAGGGAGACAGTACTTGTCAGAGGGAATAGATAGCAATATTAATTATCGTTGGGACCACAGGTTCGTTACGCATTGGTAGGAATATGATGAGGGTCTCATCGCCAAGAGACAGCATGAGGAGAGATAGAGGAGAAACTAAATTTACAAATTTAGTGTTGAGGGTGGGGGAATGTTTGAACTAATGGGCTAGGCGAAAGGGGGTGGAGAAGTGACACGGCTAGCTGAATAGAGTGATTGCAGTTTAGTGATTAAGAAGTCAATGAGCTGCTTTTAGAATGGAGGCAATATGGGAAATTGGGTTAAGCAGTTGGTGAGGAGTAGAAATGATAAACTGGGGATTAATTTTGCATTTAACACTGAATCTGCAACTGTAAGCAATTTTTATAAACAAAAATACTGTATTGGATTATGTGGTCCAGGCAGATCTGACAAATGATGAATGGCTAAGCCAATTGTTTGCCATAAATATTCACCCACGTCCCTTGAAGTTAAGGGATTGGAGATGACCAGTAGTTTCAGCTTTTTTTCAATTCTGAAGAAGTGTCATACAAGACTCAAAATGTTAAATCTGTTACTTACTCCACAAATACTGTCAAATCTGCCAACTTTCTCAGACACATGATTTTTATTTCAGATTTGCATCTTCTGCAGTATTTTTGGGTTATATTTGAGATGACCATAGTACCAGGGTGAGATACAGTAATGGTTTCAATGGGAACAATAGTATCAAAGTTGGAGATAAACTCATATTCACAGGAAGCTCACCAATCAGGGAAATCCAATAGCTAAAAACGTGCCTCCAGAAATGCCTTCAGTGATCCTTCAAAGGTCGAATGAATGGGCTTTCATAAGTCTCTAAACAATGAATGGAGTGAACCTGAAAACTCTCTCACTTTTAGACTTCTCATACTCCTTTTTAAATCCCTCCAGGATCTTTTGATTCTCTGTCTGTAACTTCCTTCAGCCTGACGACTCTCAAACATCAGCACCCTTCCAATTCTGGCTTCTTCAGCATCCCCGAATTAAATTGCACCTGCTTTGTACGCAGTATTTTCAGCTGTCTAGGTTCCAAGCTCTGGATTTCCCTTCCTAAACCTCAGCACCTCATTCCCCTTCATTACACTCGTCAGAATTTAACATTGTTACAGAGATAGCAGGAACTGCCGATGCTGGACAATCTGAGATAACAAGGTGCAGAGCTGGATGAACACAACAGGCTCAGAAATGGATTTCTGAAGCAGGGTCCAGACCCGAAACGTCAGCCTTCCTGCTCCTCTGACGCTGCTTGGCCTGCTGTGTTCATCCAGCTCTACACCTTGTTATCTCAGAATTTATCATTGATTGAGTTCCTGATCAGCCCTCTAATTGTTCCTCATCTTCATCATGTCATTTTTGCCTCATTATGTTTCTGTGGTGCTCTTGGGACAGCTGACAATATTAAATGTATTAAATAAATGCAAGTTACTTTTGTTGTATTTACCGTAGTCTTTGGTACTATACAAACTGATAACACACTAGGTCATGGCTGCACTCCACCACATTGACTGCGAACTGACTAGCTTCACAAATAGACACGCATGAAAAACTCACCATAATACTCCTCTGATTTTTCAATTTGTTTGGAAATTCTTGAAGGAAATTCTTGAGCCACAACAAACTGAGATTTTTCATGTCATCGTTATCTTCTTGCAAATAATAAT